TTGAATCTGCTTTTTGGCTTGAGTGTTATGTCACGGTCCATTAATAATGACATAACTAAAAGTCGTTCATTACACAATACTTAGTGAAATCCCACATTGACGTGCTCCTGGCAAAAGGACACGAGGTGGGACATGCTAAAAATTCTACTCCACCCTTTTACCGCCTCTGCATAATTTGGCCAAAGCCATCGTGCAATGTGCAGTTGGCAAAATAAAATGGCAGCTTAAGCTATTAAAGTGAGCATCATAATCATTGGCTGCAGGAATTCAAGTTTGGTGGAATAGAAGGGGAGGGATTAAAGTCTTTGAACGGCAGAGAGAAATCTCCACTCTGATCTCTGCACAGGGCCCTGCTGGTGCTCGCTGGGATATCCCTACTACTGCAAGCTTTGCCGAAGAGCCCGACGGGAGTCCATGGTGCCCACATTTCTCGCAGAGCTCGGAGTCAGGGATGCAGCTTCGCCATGGGTCTCATGGAGTTTTACCTGGAAATTGATCCAGTCACTCTAAACCTCATCATCCTCATAGCCAGCTATGTCATCCTGCTTCTGGTCTTTCTCATCTCTTGCATCCTGTACGACTGCCGTGGCAAAGACCCTTCCAAGGAGTATGTTTCCGAGCCCCCTGCCCCCCAGCAGCAGTCTCCCATCCGGCTCGTGGTGATGCAAAACTCCCCGGCCTCGTCGCGTTATAATGAGCAGAACAACACAGCTGCCTCCAACTTCGCGCCTCTGACCCCTGACATACGCGAGAAGAGGAGCACGCTGGTCTGACACATCCACAGTCTGCTGCTGAGACCCTCTTTCGTTTTTCCCATTTGGACACATATTCAATCTCCTTGAAGTTAATAAATGTTCACATTTATTGAACCTAATTTGAGCTGAAACAGGTAAGATATAAATAGTTCTCACTGACCAGAATATATGACCCATTTAATGCTATTTATTTTTACTCATATTTGTCCAAGGTGCTGTCATTTGTACAATTTTGACACGAGAAATTGTTTTCATTATTAATAATGGGAAAACCCCAAAAATATTTTGCATATTGATATTATTCAGTTTTGTTTGTTTAAAAAAAAAACTCTTTATAGATCTGTTATTTTGTGCAACTCTAATAATGACAAACAGGATCATGCTTTTTATAAACCCATAAAACATATCAAGAATTTTATTGAAATGATGAGTAATTTATTTAAATGATTAACATTTTAATAAAGTATTCATTAAAAAAAATATTTATTTAACATTACATATGTATTCGATATTATGTATATATTTAATAAAAATATAATTGCAATAGTATATATTATTGATGTATTTAATATTGCAATAAGTACTTTTGGGATCATGTAAATTACATTACAGAAGTGATAAAAAGATTAAATAATATTGAAAGTAAGCCATTTTCCAACACCATTTTCACAGACACATTCCTTTTCCAGGTAGAAAAAAGTGGATGACACGCTGAATTCTTAATAATTTATGGCCATCAAGAGGAAGAAGGCATTTGGTAGCACAGGGATTAACTGCAGCAACATCAAGTGTCTGTACTATTGCATCATCATCCGAATAAACATACAAACCAAAATGGCCGTAGTGACTGTAATGTTTTACGCACTATGGTCTTTGCTTTATCCAGATAAGATGGTTATATAAATACAGTGTTGTGTAAAGTTGAATTCAAGTTACTTAAATGGTGAAATGCAAAAGAAGAGGAGTTTTTTTATGGTCTTTTTGCATCTATTCCTCTTTGGTTGGTCAAATGTTGCAACTTTAGCTCATGACATGATTTTGATTTAATACTAAGAGCAGGACTAGCTAAACTTAAAAGCTACTCAGTACACATCATTTGCTCTTTTGTGTGCAAATAGGTGCTTCAAATCCCTTTTTGTTGGTTTGAATGTATCTTGTTGGCTCTATAAATGGGGCAGTCATCATTTTATGATATATTTTATAAACTATATGATCAGTTTGACAGACTACAGATGTATCATATCTGCAGTATATTGCAATATATTTTGCTCTAAGCTGATGTGTAAACATGTCAAGAATTGATAAATGAATGAATAGCAATTAAAAAGCAATTGAATAGCAATTTTTCCCTCAGATAATAGTTTTATGATTAAATAAACCCATTAAAAATAACCCAACGAACCACTGAAGTTATTTTAATATTAAAATTAGAGTCTTATTTAGTTAGTATATTCTGTTGAATATAATGGCACATCTGCCATTGTTGATATCAATCTGGGCTGTTTCTGTTTTGTTTCTGACTTACATTTTTGTCTAGAACTATAGTTTTATGTTACCATAACATACCCTGTCAAAAACAAATATAAAGTGAAACATCAATGTTTTTGTTTGTTTGTTTGTTTTAGTGGTTAGACATTGCAGGTATTTCTTATATGACATTTCTATAAGCCTTTTTTCAATATGTTATTCTTTTGATCTCCATTTACCACCTTTTTTTTAATAGCATTCACAATTAGAATTACGTAACATGACCCTCTGACATTCACTGATAATACACCAAACAGCATTTGCCACTGGAGGCGCAGTCAATAAAACAGTCTTTAATGGTCTCTTCTCTTTTCTATTTCAGTGCGTCCATCTGCATTCATTAGTTTATTGTGGACAATTTCATCATGGAAATTGAGTTATTTTATCCTCTGGACACTGGATAGAGGCCAGTAGAAAACACAAGTGCGTACCTGAACAGAGCTAATGTCTGGACACGTGTACAGTCATAATGTAATCTGCTGTAGAAATGATGTGATTATGCAGGTTTGTCAAAGGCATGAATGTTGCCCAAGTAGTGTACAACACTAAGTATATAAGTTATACATTTTGAATGTGTTCGTTGTGAAGTTTGAATGTGTGTGTTTGTAAATGTGTAAACATATAGGAATATTGTAAAGAATATATTTATAATAATATAATAATATTGTCTCATAGTAAAACAATTCATAGGAAATTCTAATTCAGTCGACATTGATGAAACCACTTGGCTACATGCAATTGTTAACAATGTAATCAGATGTAAAACATCTATATTTATGTATTGCATTTTTGCTTTTTTCCAAAGCAGCTTACTTTGCATTCTGTGTATATATTTTGCTAATAGGATTTATGTGTTCCCCAGGAATCAAACCCATGACACTGGCGTTGCTAGCGCTATGCTGTTGAGCAGTTGAGCTACATCATCTAAAATGCTATATATTTATGAAGTATAATAATAGATGTTATTTTATGGAAAAATGTAAAAAATTGTGCTAAATGAACGCCACATAATCCCACAGGAAGTCATCTGTGTTTGTCTGGAGTAAGAGGTCGTTTAGGCCACACCCAGAAGCAGCACGTACTGGAGGTCTGCTCTGAACACGTCATTGCAGGAATGGAGTGACTGTCATGCTGTTGACAGGAAGCCCATTTTACAGCATGCTAAAGCTTTAGAGAGAGAGAGCATGACTGTTTGCGTGCATGTCAAAGGGATGTACTGCTTAACAGAATATTTTTTGGAATTAATGAATAGCTTCTATATGTGGCCTACTTTGTGTATTATTATTACACCATATATATATATTAACAATGTTAACTTGCAATGTCTTTCTTATATATGTATATAAAAAAAATAAAAAAAAAATAAAAAAAAATAATAATAATAATAATAAAAAAGACATCTCGTTTGTTGAAATATACGATTGACAACATTCTATTCTACGTAGCGCTCTTTTACCAAGTTTGGCAAATAATACCATGTTTCATGATTGTACATCACAACCAATACATGAAAAATATTGACAATATAATTTAACAACAAAAGAAAAAAGTGTTGATATTGATGCACATACGTAACACGATCGCAAACAACGATGGCTTTGTTTGCGATAACAAATAGAAAAAGACAGTGGGTAGATCTCTAAAGTAACCACACAATGAAATGTTTCTGCCTTATAAGGTGTCAAGAACAGAATGAGGTGAGGGCTGGCTGGAAAACAGGCCCCGTGTTTTTGACTTTAACCCAAGAATATTGTCCTTCGAATTAAAAGGGCATGGGTGGGGGAACTTGAGGAGCACCCGGGTGGTCTCACAGAGGGCCGTGTTGAGCTTCATACTTGGTTAAGACATTTTTACACCGCCCCAACTCTCTCCGTAGGTCGGCAACTTCCAGTCGGAGAGCCGCGTTCTCTTTCTCCAGGAAACCAGCCCGGATGGCAATCTGATTCTCCTTTAGGCGCCGAGCGTCCCGTGACCTCTTGGCGGCCACGTTGTTCTTTCTGCGCCGTGCCCAGTATTTTTCATCCTGCTCAAAATATGCAGAATAAAAGGGTGGGGAAGAGACGGAGCACTTTGTTACATTATGTCAAGATTACTCTGATTATTTAGTGTTTTTAATGGTTATGTTAACCCTATAAAGCCTACTGTATCATCTGATGCACAAAATGCCTCTAAATTATCAACATGATTAAAATTTAGCTGAAAAACCTATTGCTGAAAAAACTTCTGTTGTCTGATTGATGTTTTTTTTTTTTAGCATCATTTTAGTTTTATAGTCATTTTGTAAAAATGTCAGCCTTCAGGTCATGCACTATAAAAAAGATTTTTCGTAGCTGTAAATAAAATAGATGATTAGAGTACGTTTTACAAAAAAATGCTATTTCAATCTTTCTACTTCAAAATTTCATGTTTCATTTAATGTGTTTCTAGCAATTTCTGAGTCAAAATTGTTTCTACACCATTTTTTTCAGTGTGGTACTTTTTTATTTTGCTGTGAAATCTGATTTTTGTTTTTAAGTAAACATAAGTATACATTTTATATTGTATTATGTCAAGATGAAAACATACATATATTTTTTTTTTTAGAAAAATCATCTTAAAATGTGACTAAAACTTCTGACTAAAACTGTGGCTTTTTTCATCCTTAATTATAAGCTCTATATTCTGCTATATCATACTGTTTGGGCCATAAAAGCCTGACTTATCAAATATGATGCTTAACAAAAAACATCTTTTTTGGATTTTGTGTCAAGGTTCCATAAACAGCTCAGTTTAAAAAAAAAAACTAAAGAGATTTTTTTGGACTATAATTTCATGTCAGGCCTTACAGGGTTAATAGTTTCTAATAGTTTTCAGAGGATTATGACAAATTATACCATATTTATAATTGACAGGACAAGCACGAGAGAAAACCAACCATCATTGTTAAATTACAAGTTTTCTCACACATTCGCTGCCGTGCAATCAGCTTTGAGCAATTTACTACTCTGCAAAGCTGGGTAGGGATCCACTTCTATTTGAACAAATTAAAAACGGCAAATCCTTTAATCCTAAACCCAGCAGAACTGGAGCGATACCAGGAAAAAGGAAGATCACGTGGGCCAGGCCGCCGAAGGATGAATGAACGGACATAAGCTTCTTAGCAAGAACCTGTTGCCCAGCTGGTCAATGGTGAAGGGAGAAACGGGTGACCAAACATACTCTGTTGGGGACTGAATAACTAGACCCAAGTTACCTTCATATCAACAGGAAAGAAGATTTTGCGTGCTTTCTTGATCATAGGCTGAGGTTTCAGCTCCTCTTCGGAGAACTTGCGATTGCGTGGGTCGAAAACCTCCTGGCCCGGCACGCTGGAAAGAGCGAGGTCTGCTGGATCGGGCTCGTAGCTCACTGGTATCTGAATGGCCTCTGGGTCTACTGGACTTGGTGTGTTACGTGATGGAGGCAAAACTATGAGAGGAAAAACAATCTGTTCATTGCTGACTCCATGGTGTAAGTGTAATTCAGTGGTATTGTATTGTGTATTGTAACAGATGGTGAAACAGCTGTCATGAGCATTTCATTCCACTAGGTGGTGCACCAGACATTAATAAACAAAGTGCAAATAAAAAGTACTGTCAGTACTGTCTATTTGTGCATACATTTCATGTAAATTCAAAAATCATAAACATCAAATATATAAAGTAGCACAGTCCTTCTATGTTTTAGTATTAATATAAAAACTCCAGAGTTTCTAGAAAGCACTTCATATTTTTATCCTGTGTATATTTTAGCCGAAGTATTGATTAAAACATCTAGAAAATTGTATGTTGCTGTAATCAGTTAAAGATTTTTTTTTTTTTACCAGAATGTAATTATTATCATTCACCATTTGTATACTTAATATGATAAATCAACAAAACTGATTTAAAAATTTGTTTGAAAGACCTAACTGAACAAGAGATCAATTTTCCAGATACAAAATCCACAATTCCAAAACTTCATATAGTAAAAAAATATATAGATATTGCACACAAATATTCAGTCAAGGAAAAGAGTCACCAGTTTGCAAATTTTAGTCAGAGGAAAATAGCTTGTCATAGGCTAGTCTGAGATTTCCATTCACAAATGAACTCTAAGGCTTGGGTGGGAAAATTAAGTTTTCTGAAAATTTCAAAAATGAAAATTCAGTTTTTACACTTGACTACTTATTTTTTAATGTATCAGAAAATAAGAAAATCATCTAGTCTTTCTTGTCATCAGACAAGCACCCAGAGAATGTATGTGGATTTTATTATTATTATTATTATTATGAGATGATACCATCTGTATTTTTTTAATCATATAACTCATTCCAACTACTTGAAATTCTCAGACTGGCTTATAAGCAACTTTTTATATTAAAGTAGAACAAAATAATGTGTCAAAGAATAGGAACAGAGCAGCCATACAGAGGAAAGCTATACCTCAAACTCCAACACACTCTCACTAAACCCCCATTTTTAGTTTCCCATTTACCACCCACACACTATCATATTTAGACAGTGACATCTGACCCAGCTTAACATCTTTTCCAAGGGACTTTTTTTAATCTTTGGAGCAGAATGGGCAACAGTAGGGTCTAGAATTGACACTGTGGGACACAGAAGCTTTTGTACCTGTTCTGCCCGGGCTGTGGAGGCAGTTCTGAGGAACCATGCCCGTATGGATGGAGGTCACGGCCTGGCTGCTGAGGTCCATGACTGAGATGGGGCCCTGAGGCATTGAAGCCTGCTGCTGCTGCTGCTGGTGATGGAGGCTTTGGTCATGTTGTGCGGGACTAGAGGGGATGCCATTTTCAGAGAGAAACTCCTCAAGGTCCAAATACTCCAACTGAAAGTTGTCTCCATCATAAGACAATGTTTTATCCCAGAGCGTTGGCCCTAAGAAAGCTGACTGAGGAGCATTTCCTTCTTCCTCCAGATTTTTCACCTTCTCTCTCTCCTTCCCAAAGCCTAAAAGAATATTACCATTAGTTAACACATCAAGCTGTGAGCCATTACAATTCAGTGTTTTTATACATATAATTTTTCTTATAAAAATATAGTTCTTATAGCTGCAATCTCATCTATGCACAGTAAAGAAATCCATTTTAAATCCATTTAACTTCTTGCAATGATTTTTGCCATTTTCCTTACTTTTTAAAAGTTCTTCATTGTTAATACTCAAATTGGTAAAAAAAAAAAAAAAAAAAAAAGTGAGCCATTACAATTCAGTGTTTTTATACATATAATTTTTCTTATAAAAATATAGTTCTTATAGCTGCAATCTCATCTATGCACAGTAAAGAAATCCATTTTAAATCCATTTAACTTCTTGCAATGATTTTTGCCATTTTACTTACTTTTTAAAAGTTTTAAGTTTCAACACAAATTTCTTCATTGTTAATACTCAAATTGGTAAAAAAAATATATATATATATATATTTAAACTTACGTTTTATTTTATTTATTTATTTTTGTAAAGCATTTAAGTTAAAAATTTAATCTTTATTCAATCAAAATGTTATGTTTTACTGTCTTTAATGGCATTCAAAAATGTAAAAAAAAATTTAATGTGGTTTATAAAGTTATTATTCAGAACTGTAATCTCAGTTATGCCATCTCTAAGTGAAGCCTATTCATTAATGAGACACTTAACATGATTGAATAAAAAGTGAAAAGAATATTCAAAACAGCTAAAACAAATAGCTATTTATTCTGTAGATTGCAGCAGGAATCAGATGACAGCTCTTTACAGTAAAACTAACAGCAAAATTATTATTCTCCATACTCTGCAACATAACAAATTGAAAGCTTTGATCACCTTCATCTTGGTGCACTTTCAGAGGTTTTTCCAGGAGCGCCTTCAAAACGCCGTTAGTTTGCGGAGGTCGGAAAGCTGGATTCATTGTGAGCTGTCTGGACATAATCTCTCTTATTCCGTGCAGAAATTATTTTTAAATATTGAACTGAAACGAAAGGCTATATAGAACAGCGTTCATTCGTCTAGTAACGGCAAAAATAGACCCTGCTCTGCAGCACCGGCACAGGAGGCTTGAAGTGCTTCAGTGTATGTGTGTGTGGAAGAAATGTGATGATCATGACCATGTGTCAAGACTGAGGCATGTGACGTCAAACAGTCAGAGGCGGAGTTTACTTTCGCTCCACTTGCTGGCAGTTTAGAGACTGTGTTGCCATATCCTCTTATAATTATGTTTTCCATGTTTTATATTGCTTTGGATAAAAAGTCTGCAAAATGAATCAATGTAAAATGTATTTTTTTATGAAGGCGCATGTAAATACAGGCAGTTGTGTGATGTGTATTTTTTAGAATGCAGTCCTAAAATGTTAGTATTTTAGGGCCAAAGTTAGCTAATGCAGAACAGGGGTGTGAAGACAAGTGAAATACTGCACCAGTAAAATATTACTGATAAATCATTGTCTGATAAGCTTACCGTATGTCGATCTGAGAATCTTCAGCAATCTTGTCATACGTGTGATTTCTTATAGCTGTTTAGAATCAGAGCAAGCGATACCAATTGATTCACAGTTCACTCATGCACTGAATCGTTTGTGGTTTCTCACTCCACAGTAGAAACGGGATACTATGAAGTGAACGCTGAATTGAGGTGGATATTAACCCACAATCCATTGTAGGAAATAAAACTAGTTTGTCAGCGATGAAGCAGTTATATTTGCGTGTACAGCTTGTGAATGACTCTGTACCACAGATAAAGACAACTGTATATCCATAACAGTATCAAAAAAAAGAGAATAGGGACTCTTTTTTCGCGGGGGACCTACAATACTCATGAAAAGTTAGAAATGCCTATGATGCTAATGAGATGATTTAAATAATTGTTTAAATATGTTTTTGAACAAAATTTGTTTTTGAACAAATTTGTCATTAATTTGTTTTGCACAAGTGGAAGTTCTTAAACCTTGCTTCATGACTAAAGTTGCTTATGTTTCTTGAGAGATCTGGCAACACAGTTTAGAGCGGACGTTTTGCCCTCTGCTAGTGCTAAATATGAATTCCAGCAACTCTGCTAAATATGAATTCCAGCTAAATATTTATTGAAGATTTGATAGCTTTAATTTACCAGCGTGAAGAAAGCTGAAGACGGAAGGATGGAAACTGCCACTGGAAGAAATGAAGTTCCCATCACATTCACGTACACGCGGTGGAAAAATCAAAAGCTCGCAGTCAAATAAAGGGGCATGGCTTATGCTGAACAGCTCGAGAACTGCTTTAGTTCATCTGAGCACTTATGAGAAATGATTTTTAATGAATTTTAAGCATAAAGTTATCAAACACTTAGTTCTGTCATTGCTGAATAGCTCATGTATTAAAGAGCATTATCTAATTTTACTCATAAAAATGCAAACGAGGAGACCCGAACGAGTAACACATTTTTAGTGTCTCAAACCTTGATATAGCCTAATATTCCAATATTTGCCTGCTTCAAATCAAAGTAGTTTAGAAATCTAATAATTATCCAATTTCGTGTCAAAAAGAGTACTGTTGTTACGACCTACTTTATGTTTGAATTTATTGTGTTTATCAGATTTACTTGTTCAAAATAATTATTATGCCATCACCATTAACACTACAACCATCATTTCATTTAGGTTAAACTGGATTTGGAGAGGATGATTGTATATCAAGTTATTTTGAAAAGGTAGGCAGTGAGTCAGAACAGCATTTGGAGGCTAAAATCAATATGCAAGGGAGGGAGGCTTCAAAAAGTGTTTTCAAATGATTGTGCAATATTTTTGTTATTCTGTACAGTCTGCTTTTTTTCTCCAGAAGTTAGCTATTATTAAACCTATAGCATATAATACAATTCTAGATGTAATATATATGACCATTCTCATTATATAGGTGGTTATGGTGCATCAACTGAACAGAGGGGTGTGACCTACTGTTTCCAAGGATGCTCACATAAACAAAGCATAAACGCCCTTGTTGCGTTTGATAAGGATCACACCGACACAGCGAGTAACATCAACTTATCGTATCTTTTTACTTTCAGACCCCAGTAAACGAACACTTACATTGGTCAGACATGACAGAATGCTTTCAGCACAATCAAACTCAATGCATTATCAAACAACACTTGTGTGAGAACACAACAGCCCTGTTAACACTTTTGAAATGGGAAAAATGAAAAACTCCCACTAGTGTTTTAAACTCATGGTATGCTCTCAACTGTTCCTGTAATCGTTGTTGCTAATACACGGGGCGGCGCCTACCTGTCATTCCTTGCAAATTGCAGTGAGAACAAATGACTTATAGTACATGTTTTCTTTTCAAAGTACCTTCATGTGACAAACTTTACAGTTCAAAGCTGATCCATATACTGTATATTGTTACCTATTGAATTCAAACGGTCAAAAAAGACTAGTGTACATAAATGGACAGTAAATGTAAGTGATTTTCGAAACACCAACCTGAGTGTAAAAAGGCAAATGGATTTTTCTATCAGAGTCCTATAGAACTTGTCTTTCTTCGTTTTTGTTACCTTGGCAACCAGTTGCTAAAGCAATCAGATGTGACGTTGCTTTGCAGAAAAGTAGGCCATGACTGGCCACTCCTCCTTTAATTGGAAACAACTAAACCACATGTTGTAACATGTGTCTGACAAACTGGAAACAGATTGCAACTAGTTAGATGGCAAGTAGACCTAAACAGAAACTGCAATTGCTCTCTAGAAAAGTTCATTATAATTGCTGTCATCTTATGAAATTTTGATAGGAGAGGTTGTACCAAAACTTGCTAATGATGTCTGGGTTATTCATTCCTGAATTATGCTCTTACGCATCTTAACAATCTTGGACTGACATAATCAAATTGCTAAGTCCTTAGCACAATGATGGCACAGACCGAACATCCCTTGATATACCGGGCAACATCTCGGGCCATGTGGGGCCACCAGTAGCGGTTTTGGAGGAGCGAGAGGGTTCGGCGGCTGCCTGGGTGTCCCGATCCCGGAGAGGTGTGAACCGAGTCCAGAAGGGTTATCCGCAGGGTGGATGGGACATAGTTCTTCCCCTCTGGACCTCCCGGCGGAGCGGGTTCAGTGAGAGTGGCAGCATGGATCTGGTCGGTGAGGGCCCATTGAATCGGAGACATGAAGACGGAAGGTGGCAGGATGGGCTCTGGTTCTTCGGGGGTAGGATCTGGCTGGTGTTGGCGGGAAAGCGCGTCCGCTCGGACATTCTTAGTCCCTGGACGGTACGTGACCGCAAAGTGAAAGCGGGTAAAAAACAGAGCCCAGCGGGCCTGCCTCGGGTTAAGACGTTTGGCCTCTCGGAGATATTGTAGGTTCTTGTGGTCTGTGATCACTTCGAATGGATGTTTGGCACCCTCCAACCAATGCCGCCACTCTTCCAGAGCGAACTTGATAGCCAGCAACTCCCGATTTCCAACGTCATAGTTCTGCTCCGCCGGGGATAATTTCCGTGAGAAATACGCACATGGATGGAGCACGGGGGGTTCACCTTGCCATTGAGACAGGACGGCGCCCACTCCCAGGGTCGCTGCGTCCACCTCGACCACGAAGCGGAGATTGGGGTCCGGGTGTGGTGAGGCAGGTGTTTCCGTGACAGTTGTGGTGCTGGTGAGGGTGTAATAGAGAACGCTGGACTCGTAGGTGTGGTTTTGCGTGCGACTTCAAAACTCTCAAAAGAGTGATGGATGTCTGCAATATTAAACTGGACTGTTTTGAAAAATATGCAACTGAAAGAACATGCTCATGGGAAGGGGAAATTAAGCTCTAGAGATCAAGAGGTTACATAAATATGGTCAATAACAATATGAAAATTCTGCTGGTTTCAAAGCACAACAGCAATATCTGCAATTTTGTTCAGAATATTTGGTTGTAGAAACGCAGTTCTTTTTAATGTACAGTACCTATTGAATGTTTACTGTAGCTAAAACCATTATCTCATGCTGTACAAACAACTTATGAAGTGCCCTTCAAAACAGTTATTTACTTTTGTGAAACAAGGCAGAAACAAAGGAACTGTTTTTTGTGAATGTATTTGAAGCGTCTCATAACTTACTTTACGTAGTACTTCACTCCATCTGCAGTGTATGCCTCACCCCAGCCAAAAGGTAAACCTGTGAATGAAAAAAACAACAACAACAACAACAGAGAAATCAGATACATTTACTCTACATGAGGACAACAAACAAGATACTGGAGAAGTCTGCAGCCAAAATAAAAAACGGCATTGCAACATTTCTCGTTGATCCTTTTGATCCTAGTGACCGTGAGAATTTCCTGGCAACTGGATGAAATGGGGTCGTAAATGAATATGCTAAGTGTCCCGGGCATATCTGCATAATCCGAAAAGCTATTTTCATAAAAAGTAAGGAATGTACAGTGAAAGTATAAGAAGCATCAAATGAGGGCAAATCAGATTTGCTTCCATTGGATTTGCATTTTGGTTTAAAAACTCCATCCGCACACACACGTACACAATTCCCCACATGCACTTTATTTCTTTGATGCACAGCTTTGGATAGAGGACTGATGTGTGGCAGGTTGTAATTAAAGAACGTCAGCCAATAAAACGTAAACAGACACTATTGAAGGCTCAATTAAGGCACAGGCTAGAATCTCATTAATACATGCCACCATACTGGTAACAAATCCCTGACAGAATTTGATCTTGACACTCCCTCTGTACGTGCAGGAAGTACAATTGACAGTAAGTCTGCTGGCATACTCGATGTCCTGACATGACTTTATAATGGGTTTCTCTTCAGAAATATGATCTTATTTAAAAAAAAAGGTTTTATGAGGAAAAGAATACACAGAGTATCCCACTGTCTAGATTTCACACACAATCAACATTTTGACAGGAAAGGCCAAAGAATAATTCATGCCGTCTCAAATTTCTACAAACAAATGTCCCTGGCTACATGTAATTTAGTACCTATGGGAATTTACAGTAAATTTTGTCTACATTTGAACAAATGAGTGGAAAATGCATGGAAGAAATTTTGGCTAACAAATAAGGTTTCAAACCATTTATCATTGGCACTGGCCATATCTTGAACATTTATTATTTTTTAATATTTAAACATTTAATATAGATTACAATTGCAAACATTATTTTTATTTTAAAACATGCACACATTTGCTTTTATTTGCATGCCTAATATGTCGAAAACTAAAACAGTAACGTTTTGTCTTGTCACATTCAGTTATTAAAAATCATATAAATGATTCTGCCTAAATACTGATTTCAAAATGGTGAAATTTGACAAAAAAGGTTGAGTACTTTGCCTCACTTGGTATTACTGTTGGTTGTTTCCATTGTAAAACAATTCGTCCTGGTAATGGCCAAATAACTGGGCATTCATATGAAATGTGCCTAAACCTTGGTGTATCATGCCTAATTGTTGGCTGTTTTCTTTAAAGGGGTCATATGATGCGATTTCAAGTTTTCCTTTCTCTTTGGAGTGTTACAAGCTCTTGGTGTATAAAGAAGATCTGTAAAGTTGCAAAGACTAAAGTCTCAAATCCAAAGAGATATTCTTTATAAAAGTTAAGAGTCAGCCACGCCTACCTAAAACGGCTCGTTCTAACGCGCCCCCACATATCTACGTCACTATGTGGAAATATTAGCATAATGCCGCCAAAATGTGCATGCAAAGAAAGAAGGCGTGGTTTCGGGAACAGCAGTCGTGTTGATGCAGCCATGTCAGGGAGACGCTGTGTTTCAGTGCGAAAGCAAAAGCACTTTATTTGGCCTTCCGGAAGTAGATACAATTAGAAATCATTGGTTAAGATTTATTTACAACAGAACAGCACAACCCAGATGTTCGAATTTGTGCAACGCACTTTATGGACAACAGTGTTTTGAACCTAGAAGAGCACAAGACTGGCTGTGCACAAAGGCTATTTCTAAAAAAAAAAAAAAAAAGGGTCAATCCCTACAAATAATGATCTTTAAAATAGCATCATATGACCCCTTTAAAGAAGTCTTAAGAAAAAAAGTGATTTCAATGCTCATTTCATAATAGTTTCCTAGAATATAAACAGAGTGTTGTTTTCTAAAGCTTGCACTCATATCTATTTTGAGCGGCCATCAACTCAAGTCTTTAAATTCTACAGCTTACTGATTTTTTGGGGATTCCGTTTTTTTGGGGATTCAGCGTTCTGACGTATCCACAGTGATCACAAACCGTTACTGCCTAAGCCTTGGGACATAGTAACACTCCGAGTAGCTCATCACATGCCTCTTTAATTCAATCAGCTCATTGTTTTCTAAAGGCCTTGCTCTAGTAACCAAGAATGAATAATTTCACTAGATCAACACTATGATACGGGAAAAGACAATTGCAGCGGCCTCAAATTATGCCTCGGAAAATCAGATATAATTGAGATAAGCTGCAGACACTCTCTCAAAATTGATTTGCTATCCTCTCTGAAAGGGACTGTATAAAAATTCTGTCATCATTTACTCATCCTCATGTTGTTCCAAACATGTATGTCTTTCTTTTTTCTGTAGCACACAAAAGAAGATTACATTCTTCAAAAGGCTTTTGTTGGTGTTCTGCAGAAGAAATAAAGTCACAACAACATGAAGTTGAGTAAATGACAGTTTTCATACCTTTTAAATGAATAAATAAGGCCAATTATTTTATCATAAATGCTTATTCCAAAGCATGTCTCCCCCTCTGTCTTATTGATGAGACAGTGGTACACAGCCTGTCACATGGCTGGGAGAACATCCATCACGTGGAAAGCACTGCCTGTCTCTGAGCTGGGCTGGAGCTGCTCTCTCTGGTTTCAATCGGTGTGATGAGGGTGGCCCTCCATGTGCAACTCAAAGCCTGCCTCGTCCTCCCCCGCAGGGAAGCATTCAGCCAAAACGTGAGCATCACTCACTGAGAGGTCACATGCTGCCAGGTGAGTAGGACACGTTTCCTTGTTCCCAAAGCAATCACTTTAGCTCTTTCTTCCCTCGCTCAGCTTCACTGATCCTATGACCCCAAGAGTCTTCTATCTTTCTCTAATCCATCCGTCTGTCCGTCTCTCTCCCTTTTTTTTTTTTTTTTTTTTCCCCGGGTACTTTAGAAATTTTATATCGAAGATTGCTCTTTGCCTGACCGT